GGCTCGCGCCGCTCCCCGGCTCCCCAAAACTCCCGCGCTGCGCCGCGGGGTAGGAAAGTTTTGCTGGGTTCTCCCTGGGCCGTGAGGGGGTCCCGCGGGCGCGGCCCCGGTGCTCTGAGGGAGAGGAGGGCGAGGCTGGGGCCGGCCCCCTTCCCCAGGAAGTTTCAGCGGTCACTGCACTCCGGTACATTCCTGAGCGTTAAAACACCTGTGCTCTGCCACAGCTGAAAGAAATCGGGAGAGATGGGGAGAGGGGGTTGCAGTGCAAGTCTCCGTTAGGTAAATAATACATCCGACTTTCGACTTACTGAGAAACCAACTTTTCTGTGAGGAGGCAGAGGAGCATATCACAAGTGATGCAGGTCTAAAGCAAACGAAGCCCCTCCATCGAAGGGAATGTGTCCTGCAGGAGCAGGATGGAGGGAGGTTGTGGGAGACGTGAAGCTGGTGATCAGTCACAGGAGGCAGTCTCTTCTCGGGAGGTCTCATGTATAATTGCTTGAAATTTTCAGGTTCAAGTGCGGCATCAATTGTGTTATAGATACAATGGCATCGGTCGTCTCCTCAGGCCTGACTGTGAGGCAGCCTCCAGAAGCGCCATATGGTACCTCATTCACTTGCACACAAGTAAAACGCAGCAGTCCTGGGAACCAGACAGATCCTATGTCTCCTTCACCTGTACCAGGTCAGTTAACACAAGAACTGCTCAGCTTTGTGCATCCCTTGTCCCTGAAGATAGTGGACCCAAAAGATGGTCAGACAAATTTCATGAAAGGGGTTCAGTCTGATAGATGCACACCCAGCAACAGCCAGGACACACTGGCTAGATTGGTTATTTGCTTCTTGCCTTCTACCAGTGTGCTTACATTACACCTCTTTTCCCAGCCTCTTCCCTTTCTTCCTTTGTATCAAGATCCTTCTTTCCTGCTTGTTTCCACGTTTTTCAGTCTTTTTTAATCTTTCCTTCTTCCTAGTCCTTTATTTTCTTCACTCTCCCTTGTATTCTAGCTTCCTCCTAAAGCATTCAGTAAACAAAGCAAGCAGAAAAGTATAAACAAAACTTTTCAAGTGGATACCAAACAAGCAATAGCAACAGAGTATTTCAACTATTTCCATGATCACACTGCTTGTGTGTGCCATCTCCTCCTTTCTTTTGTTAAGCTTGCTTATCTAGGCACCCTTTCTGCAAAGTTTAGTATTTTTGCATTATGAGTAATCCTATTTTAGACAAGGGGAGATGACTGTATGCTAACTAAATTGCTATATTTGTTAACTTAAATTATCTAAATTACACTCTGGAGGAACCTCACTTTCTCTCCATTGAGGATATGTGTGTTCTAAGAAGACTAGCCGCTTGTTTTGGGCCCCTCGCCTAGCTGCCTAAAACTAAGGCAGAATTTTCACATAAGCTAGGTTTAAATTAATACCTTTCAATAAGAATGCTTGTGTTTCCTAAACTAGTTCATGTGTCTTTCTAGGATCAGAACCTTAGATTGGAGGCTCTGTGGGGCAGGGGCTATTTACTTCAGCAGCGTTGAGTACAATCAAGCCGTGAACTCATCTGAGATTTTTACATACTGGAATGGTAGAAATAACAAATAACTGACTTCAAATAGAAACTTGGGGGGGTTAATTTACTGGACATAATTGCTATTAGGAGATGTAATAAATCAGATTTAAACATTTCTCATCGGCTTTGCCCTTTTAAAGACATTTTTTGCTTTGAGATTAATGTGACAATCAAATTCCACTGTGAGAATTCTTTTTCCTTTTTGACTTTAATGTCTTCCATAAGCTAAACATATTTCTAAATAAGACTGAATTTTTGCAAGGCCAGAGGAAGCCTTGCGCATCAACACCCAGCAAGTTGGAGTGGCATGAAGCAATATAAAATCATAAAGGCTGTAGTAAAAACAGTACCCTTGAGAGGTGACTATCCATGGAGAGAAGAACTGCTCTTAAACTAAGAAAATGCTCAAGGTTTGAGAATTAATACCAGGCAGCTGTCCGATTCAACTAAGCATATACAAATCAACTATATCAATGAATATTATTATTTTTCTTCAATTTTATTAAAGACAAGGCAAAGTTACTAAGGCCTAACAATCATACGGTAATATCTTGTCAGTTACAAAGTATCCAGATGGTTTATTTGAATGGAGTCCAGGAGTATGTAATTTGTATGTGTACAAACTAGTAAGCCTCCCTATAGCTGAAATAAGTATTTTAGAGTATTAATTTAAAATTAAAGTTTAAATATGTTTGTTCCTTTTTGACTGCTATGCAAAATACTCTGTTTTCTTAACACTGTCAGCTATAGAAATATTGGTGTCTTGTATATTTGTCCTATATAAAAATTGGCTGGTTTTGTATGGCAAAAGGTCAAGCGAA